GTGTAATGAACAGATGACAGCCCACGGAAGGCTTCATTTTATCGGTATCAGTATCGACTAAACCAACAGATGATGTGTGAAATGGATTCATGGACTTTTACGCAATCAAGTATGAATTATAAAATGTTTCTCATTACGGTGTAGATGCACAGTGGAAATGAGTTATGAATACTTATGTATGTCCCTTAACAAACCATGCCCGTACATCTTATCCCGTAAAAAAATCATTTTCATTAAAAATCTTTATCAATTTATTGTCATACATAGCTTGTTTGACGTTTGCACTAAACCGACAAATAAATTGGATGCTATTCAGTGCACTTCAAGGATTGAAATAACCGGAATTATGAATGTGTTTGTTAAGATTCTTAACGTGGCAGACCCGATCGACGCAACTCAATTATTAAATAAATTGCTAAGGTTTCGTAGTAAATTCCAGAGGATTAACAAACATCGCACAATTGCTTTTCCAACAATTTCAGGTCAAACACAGATGGAAAGACATTCAGTCATTGGTTTTAGCGTCGATTTTCTTTTCTAAATGTAACGTAATGTTAAGTAATGAATATTAAATAAATTACGGTTACCCGAAGATTTGCTCTAAACTTAAGCAAAATGTTACTTGTTCTGTCATTTTCGTACCCATCAGAAATCAGTTTGTGTTTGTACAAATTTGTGACAATTTTACAATATTTTCCAACAACAACAACAACAATATTCAACTAATGACAATGAATTTCAGACGAAAATACTTTATCACACACTCTGTTACGCACAAAGTGTTACAACTGCTCGAGCAGCATTTGAAAATAGTAACACACACATATAAACAAAGAAGAGAGTGATGATAAAGTTCATTGGAAGGGGAACAGTAAGTACACTGACGCACTCACACACATACAAAGATATTTCAATGAAGCAAATGATGAGATACTTGATAACTTTTTAAATAGTACAAGTGCTCACAGTGCTTCGTGTATTCGAGCTCATTATTCATTTCGATAATGAGATGATGATGATAATGATGATGACGATGAAATGGCGATGATGGTGGGCGTTGGTGGTAATGATGATTCACGTGAATGCAAATGAAAATGTTGCTATAAATCTAAAATTATGAAACGAATATAATTTTCGTTGCGGTTGTCTGTTACTCTGTATATGCGTGTGTATATGTATTTGCGTGCATTTGCTTCTGCTTTGACTCTTGATTTACGAAAAGTTTCAAGTTTTTGGCAAACGACTAGAGGATGACTGTAACGCTTTAACGTTTATTCGCTAGAAAGTATGCAATGCTTTCTTTCCTTTACTTTCTCTCTCCCTGTCTCTCTCTCTCTCTCTCTCTCCCACCCAACGTGTTTCTTTTACGCTTAACATTAAGTAAACTATTTGTTGTTATTATGATGATGACGTTTTCGCACAAATTTCGACACAAATTGTAATAAGAGACAAATGACTTGTGATTGCAACATATTCTATACCCACAGCCAAAATTCTAAAAAAAAAAAAAATAATAATAATAATAATAATAATAATCACAAATAAACAAGAATAAACGAAAATTCTGCTGGTAGTGTGTTGATGATAATAAATTTCCTTTTTGGCTCGTGTATCTACAGAAAGATAAAGATGAGAACAGGAGCTCAGGAAGCATACTTTTTATGTTTTAATAACTTACATTAATTTTATTTGTTATGTTTTATTTTAAAAAAAATATAAAAATTTTTCTCATTTTCTGTTCACAACTATTGGTGCCGTTACGTTGGTGAACTGAAGCTGATGAAGTCGTTGATGTTGACGAAGCCGAAAATTATATGCTCAAGTATTTGTTAAATGGGAAAGAGTGGTTGGTTGTTCTTGCTGCTATTGTTATCGCGGGTAGAAAGAAGTTATTATTCTGACGCGTTTACACGGTCCCGTCTCTTGCATAATTAGTGCCAAGTTTTCATTCCGTTCATTATAATTGTGCCGTTGTGTCTAATGAAGTGGAGTAAACAAAAACTAGCAATTTGCAAATTTATGATCACCTCCTATCCTTCCTTCCTTCCTTCCTTCCTTCCTTCCTTTCTTTCTTCCTTCCTTCGTTATCGTCATCCATGTATCCACTTTCTTGGAACAATTCAAGAACATTTTCTAGTTAAGTATTCTTGAGGAAGTATTAACACGAAATGTTATGATAAGAAGAGAAAAATAATAAAAAAAAAAAACCAAGGAAAAAAAGCAAAAGTCATTCATTACGTATATAAGTATTTATGTACATCCTAAGTTACGCTAGTATACCATCTCTTAGCACAAATGCCAAAATCGTTATGTTCTTATAAAGATTTTCATATTTTAATTATTACGGGCAGAACATTTCCTAAAGGTATTACAAATCTTATTAATCCTTAAATATATATATATATATGCTGTGTGTATGGGTTTAAAAAAAAAAATGTTAAAATTTGTTTTTTGAAGAGCGGAGAAGGATGCTTTGATTTGTACTTGTCGTTAAAAATCTTGTCAATTTTGATTAAACAACACCTCAAAAATTAAGATAGAACCGACTTGTAACGGCTTAAGACATCCGTAGATGTCAGCCGTGCCAACGTCTAAGCGAACTGTCGGGCGTTACTAAAAATTGAAAATCACTTAACGAAATTCAAAATCCTTTAGGATTTATCGAAAACTTACGTCCAGGTATGGCTCACAATCGCCTTCACTATCGGCAAGTGAAACATATGCGGCGAAGTGTTAACGCATGCACGATAAAGTGTTTGATAATAATTGAAGAAAGATTAGGAAGAGCCAGCCAGTATGTGGAGAATTTTTTAAAGCTTTGTTAATTTCCTTTATATCGGTTGAGAGTAAGTGTTTTTTGACCAATCCCTGCGCATGTAACTACGGCCAGGCAAGAACCGATTACAAAGAAAGGGACGAATAATGTTTTCACTCCTTTACAATACCTACACCCTGTAAGCCTTTCTTCTACGCTTCAAACCCAGTTCTGCCCGAAAGATTTCATTTCGTTTTCTCCTGCCTCGAAATTCATAAATGAATGCTAAGAAGAGAAGGAAAAGGAATCTCATGGTATTCCTGCACTGTACCAAATCGATTGTCGATTGCAATTCTTATCGAAGGCTAACTTAAGTGAAATACAACTCGCGGATATGAACGTCAGCCCCCAAATGCACTCCAAAGTATGTCTAAATATCTCGATACCTCGTGGCTTACGCAATACTTATGTATAGGAGATTTATATACCAACTCAGTCCTTTAACAAAAATTTCCATTACGCCCACGTCTTGTCGTTTTTTAATTTCATCGCTAGCCTTTGGAATACCCTACCAATGTGGGTATTTTCCACGCTCTCTACCTGAAATCCTTCCTGAGCACGTCGTACGGGATATCCTCTGAGCTAATCGGTTGAGCAAAATTATAATCGACAATAAATGGAAGAACGTCAGGCCATATTCTACCGAATGCACCGAAAATATTTAAGACAACAACACTACTTTCGCCGAATTGACGAGTATTGACGTCGGCTCTGCTTTTCTGCGAAATGAGTCATTAACTCGCCACTGCCAATTGTTAATTAGAGCAGAGCAAAGCTTTCGGCGAGATAAATAAAGAATGAAAAGTAAGAACAGCCAGCCAGACAGCGCAGAGAATCGCGAGCGTTTTTCCTAAATTTCGCCTGGCAAGAATGGCCATTATTTCACTCCTCTAATAACAATCGCCCAACGGGGAGTAAGTGAAGCTATTCCATAGTAAAATTTTAAGCAGGTGTTGGATTTCGTACCTTATCTTATTGTGTGACGTTATATATTTATATAAATCTGTGTACGCAAGATATACAAAAGGATTTCCTTTCTTCGTATCACGTACACTTTCCAGCCTTGCGTTAAGGCAGTGTTTCGTTTTCTTTTACCTTTTCTTTTCTTTTTATTCACCTTATTACAGATCTAAAGATAACGTACTAGAACTACATTACGTTGTTTTTCTGCCGTTTGTATGCGTGTCACAGACATTGTTTATCGTTTTGTGCTTTGCTTCATAAAAGATTTTAATGTTTACCTTTTTTTTTTTCTTTTTTTTTTTGTGTTATTTGTTTGATGTTCTTCTCCTTTTTTTTATTTTTTTTACCATTCCGTTTTATGAACTTTTTATCTCTCTGTCTTTCATTATTTTACCAACAATATAATACAATGTTAACATGTCGCTTTCAGCAATCGTAGCAGCAGCGCAACACACATCATATGTAACTTTTCTTTAACCATTCTCGCCATAAACTTGAACAGTGCATGGACCGAGGGTATAGCGAGTAGTGTATAAAGTGCACGGGAGTATAGGCAACAATGTTTTTAAGTTTTTTTCTCAATGCATGTGTGTGCGCTTGCATATAGCTGTTGTTAACTAGTAAAAGTTGCTGCTATTGTTATTGTTGTTATTGTTGTTGTGTTTGGTTATAGCATAATTTGTGGCTTGTCTTGTACAGAGATTTTTAAGTATGTAGCTATAGCAACAGTGTCTCAGCTGCAATTTTCACAACATTTATGCATGCATACTTACATGTACACACATGCATGCACATATACAATGTCACTGACAGTCATACATAAATAGCACAAGCATGCACATATATATATGTATATATATATATTTTTCGCTTATAGTGCAATTGCAATGTAATGTTTAATATGCTTGTCAACCGCCATGTTTTTTGGAACTAAGATTTGGGTTAATTTGTGAGACATGTGCACAATTAATGCACAAAAAAAAAAAGAAAAAAATGCAAAAACAAAATGAAAGCACAAATACATAAAGGGTTGACAAAATCAGCGTAGACATTGTAATTCCGATTATATCTACCGATCATTTATTGACTCTTACATCTTATACTAGTTATGCGCTTCTTATTAATTTAATCTTAATTTTGTTTCCTTCTTAGCCTAATTACTCTAACATGTCTTCATCATCCGATTGATTTTTAACCTTTAAACCGCCAAAAACTTTAGCTGGTATTTCCTGCTGCTCGATTCGTAATTTTTTTAAAACTAAATCATTGATATCTTTACACGTTGTTACTGATTTTTCTGAGGTCTTAATATTTTCCGCGTTACTTTGATCCCCGTCGTCGTCGTCGTCTTCATCCTCGGCATCATCATCGCTATCCCCGATATCAATTTCATCGGGATTAACCACTTTGCCATTACTTCCGGCGCCCTGGGTCTCACCACGCACGAACATTATATTGGAAGAGGTTTGATTTTTCAACGCTTGTCTTTCCTTCTGTTCGTTTACAGCGGTGGCTTTAGCATCCAGTAAACGCATAGCATCCGAATTACTTGAGTCAACGGCAGCGTTGGCGGAATTAATGAACTGAGCTGCCATCATATTCACTTGAGTGTTATAGGTAGCCTGTACCGAACGTTTAATGCGTAACATTTCACGCATAGTATCCTCATTGCCATGACGTATTTCAAAATCTTTCCAAGTCTGCCAGAAATCAGCAGTAATACGGGGATCACATACCTTTAAAGAGATAAAATTTTTATTTTTTCTGTTAAAAAGAAACACTATATGTTTTCCTACCTGCGAGCAATGAGCATAAATAGCCCGAGCACGATCAACTTCTCCCAATTTCGTTTCCATTTCAGCAAAACGCACGCACATCTGGCGCATATGTTCCTCAGGCAAGCATTCAATAGCTTTTTCATAAATTTCTCGCGTACGAGGTAATCCATAGATCTCTGCTGCTTTTTTAACGAATATATTATACATGTCATACATTTCCTCCGGCTTAACGGCGCTGGTAGCTCGATCATAAACGGCCATAGCATGTCTAGCTAGACCGTGATCCTCTTCCAATTTAGCGTATAGCAAATAGAAATATTTGGCATATTCGGGAGGGCAATTTTCCAAACATTGTTCGAAAAGATCTCGTGCTCTTTCTAACTTCGTCCCACCATATCTTTTAAGAAATTTTGTTAAATACGAATTCCAAATGTCGTAAACATTGGGCCATTTGAACAAAGCGATGCCTTTTTCATAGGCTCGGAATGCCTCTTCAAAGTAATTATGTTCTTCCAGAAACAACCCGTAATTAATAATAATTTGTGGAGTACAAATCTTTAAGTCCATTATACGATCATACACTGCTTTACAGGTTTTAAAAGTGCCAAACGACTCCTCCAAATCGGCGTACATGGACCACAATTTTAACGACTTATACAAACGCATTTGCACAGTTTCTGTATCGTCGTGATAATCAACTTTACGTTTCGGCATGGCGGTAGCTTTTTGCATCAATTTAAGCGCTTGATCATAGTTTTCCTGACGTATTTCCATTTCTGCCCATTCGCACCAAATAGAGGCCAAATCCTCAACCTTTACAAATTCTACCTCCGTAGCGCGTTCAAAGACAATACGAGCATCTTCAACCTGACCATTGGCTTCATAGAATTTTGCAAATTCTACCCAAAGTGTATGCAATTTACCCACACTTAGCTTCGGTTGCACTGTCTGAACAGCTTCTGTATATGTATTGATTATCTCATGCGGTTTATCTTCATACAATTTAACACGTTTATGCCATTCGTGAACATTATGAGGATTCTGGCGTAGCAGGACGCTGTTTAAAAGTAATAGACGTCGCTCCATAAGATGTTCAAAACGAGCCAAACGCAACTCAACGTCAATATCGTCCTCGGACGTGGCATTAGGATCTTTGGCCACCATTTCCATACGCTTATTTAAGGAGACTTCCTCAAACTGAGCGTATTCATCGAAAACTTGAGTAAAATCTCGAACAGTGCGTACAGTCTGAATGGCTTCTTCATAGATATCTCGTGCACGATCGAATAGGCCAGAACGTACGTAATAATCAGCTAAACAATTCCATAAATGACCCAGTTGATCGGTGTACCTAAAAGAAAGGGAAGGAACGGGTTTAAATATCTCTTATTTAAATAAGCGAAAATTTACCTCCTCAAGCCACCCCTAATAATGGCGTCTACGTTCAACGATCGCACTTTATCCGGATTCTTTGATATTAAATCACACAACTCATTCCACAACTGATGGTTTGATTTACCGTACTTGGAAACAAAATTTTCATTATCCACTATGCTAGCCAACTGCTGAGCAGCCTCATCTAATCTATTAACACTTGTCAGATATTCTATATACTCTTCCGCATCATCCGGAGCCAATTTCAAATAACGTCTATAAATTCTAACTGCCGTTTCCGGAATATCATATTTACGCGCAAATTTCAAATACAACGGCCATATGCGGTAATGCTGAGTAATGGGTAAAGCACGTAAAGCCCGATCAAACACGTGGCGAGTGCGGGTAATTTTGCACTGAACTGTCATAAAGGCTCCATAATCCATCCAAATGCGCGGCATTTTGTGCATAAATACTAAAGCGCGCTCAAATGTGTTATTCACCTCATCGAACATGGGATCCGTGAGACAACGACCGCGCACTTGACGTCGACGGGTGCGTAAGTAATTATACCATATTTTATAACTACCAGGCAATTCTTTAAGGGCACGTTCATACACAATGTTAACCCCATTATTAGGTGCTTTGGCTTTATGATCGATATAGCGCAGCCAATGTTTCACGGAATAGGCATTGCGGAGAATTTCCTCTTCGTAAGGCACATCTTCCTCAGGCTAGAAGAAGACCGAACAACGGTAATAATTATTTGAATAGCGCGGAATTTCCGAGGTAATACTTACAAAATCTATATCCATACACAAGGAAGTATCCGCCAAAGTCATTTTGCTAATGTAAGTTGTAATGTATTTTATTCTCCTTCTTACTTATTTACTTATTTATTTTCTTTTTTTATGCTTTTAAAGAAATACACTACGTCTGTTTACGATGAAGCCAATGATGCCACCAAATACAAACAATGCTCTTAGGGGAATGACACAACGATGCTTTATTCTTATTCGCGGGTTAAAAACCCCAAACTAGCAAACGTTAACGTATTATTTTATAGAAAAATGTAAACAAAAGCATATGATATTAGAACCAAAAAAAAAAAAGAAATCAATATTAATTTAAGCAACACACATACAAAAAAGTGAGGACAGAAAAAGTTAATAGAAAAGGGAAATTAAATTTTTGAAGTAAATAATGAAGAAAATAGGTTCAAAGGAATAATTGTGTAAAAGTGGACTTCACTGACGCAATTAATAAAAAAAAAAGAATTGCTTAAATGTGTGAAGACACATACATGGAATTGTTTAAACAATAAAAGTAACTTAGATAAATAAATAGTCATTTCAAATAAATTGTTTTTATATCTTCTTTTATTTTATTTACTTGTCTATGCTGAGCGGTGAGTGCTATGTAAATAGGATTAAATGAATTAAAAAATAGATTGTAACTACAGATTTATGAATAAGAGACTGCAAGATAACCAATGCAGGCACGAAAACTAACTTACAAGTTGAGTTGTCTCCCCAGCCCCATAGATGGTCAGAGAATCCCCCAAGGTAGTAGCAACATATCAAGAAGTCATTAAAATAGTTTACAACAGAATAAGCAGGCTTTAAACCACATCAACATATTACAAAACTGGCCAAGTGAAGATCAGAGGAGCACTCTGAATTGAGGCTTAGAGATTACAGGCAATCAACAAATATTCTACTCATTAGTGGCAAAATGCAAAAGAAGTTTCATCGGAAATGCATTATTAGAATATGAAAATGTGGGTAGGTTGAGCTGCAAGTAATTCTAAGTAATTCCAGCATTGCGCAACTCGAACTATAAAAAATTTATTTTTTAATTAACATTTTATAGTTAATGCATAATTTAATTTTGTGGCTCCATTGGTTATTGTTCATTATTGTTGTTGATGTTACCATTGATTTATTTATTTAGTTTTTTTTGTTCATTTATTTTTGTCAATTATACTTATTTACAATTATTTATACGTACATATATATATGACCTTAACAATATAGTTGACAACTAAATCCGCGCTGTTTGTTTAAATTTTTATCAAAATCGAAAGTTTTTTCAATGTAAACATAATGATATTTAAAAAATTATTTAAAAAAAAAGGAAAATGTGCTGAAAATTTAAAGCAAAAACAATGTTTTATAGCTAACATAAACATAACATAACGAACATAAACGAAAAAACGCGTCTAATATTTTGGTAATCAGATATAATAATAATCCTTATCCAGATTACGAGGGTGGAACGTATTTTGTCTTTAGTAATATGAGGATTAGTATGACATATAAAAGCACAGGCTTCATCTACCCAATAAGCAGGATCTGTCCGTTTTGGCAAACTGCAGCCACAGGTTTCGAAAACTTCTGCAGAATTTCCGCTTGAAATTTTATTATTTTGCGCATAGCCGTCTTGAATTGATTTATAGGCAGATGTAACAAGTTAAGCGAAATGTCTTTCAATATTCCTATCAGCAAGTCGTTCTTGATCTGGAAAACGTATAATTTTAGCTGTTTTCACCAGATCGGAAATATAATGTAATAAAATAATAATAAAAATAATACAAAAATACCTTAATAATCTAGCTTAAATTATATATTAATATTTTAAAATTATGAAAAAACAAGTTCGCTATGCATACTATCTCTTACTTTACTTATACAATTTGTTATGCGAGAAAATTATAATTTCTAGCCCCTCCTTTCTCCTTCTATTCGAGGCAACGATTTTGTATTTGGAAAGATTGCGTTGTACACCGTTGGTATATGCATATTCTGTAACATCATCGTAAATCGAAACAAATGTTTTCCATTTTTAACAAAAATCTAAATACGTAAGGGTAACATGGTCCTAAATCGAAAAAAATGAAATTTTCGTGTTTCGTCTTAAACCGACAGTATACGAGTATACACGTTTTCATTATTTCAATAATTAATAATTAATAAAATTTAATTCGAAAAATGAAATTTGCAATCGCCCTGAAAATAAAAGAAAATATTTTTTTTTTAAGAATATATACATATATTCATATTAGAAAACAAGGAATATTAAATATTATGCCTGCAAAGCAAAATGGAGGACATCAAGGAATACACGACGGTGAAATAATATATGTAACCAAACAAAAAGTTTATTAAACTGAATATATTGAAAATGCAAACTTATAGCTAAAAATCAAAAATTTACGTTATTTTGTTTTTCTTTTTAGTTGAACATTACGTGCGCTATTTGAAGTAAATTGTAAAAATATTCAAAAACCTTCAGAGGGACATCCCACACCTTTCATTCCTTTTTATAAGGTCCTAATAGTTGTAGCGCTAAAGTATAAATATTCATTCAGTATTTAGCAATATTAAAACCTTTATCTTCATCAACCTTACGTAAAGCAGTGAACAAGGCGACTGTACTCATTTTGGGAATCGCTTAAAATTGGAGCTGAAGCGCTGTTCTCCATGCGTATTACCTTTTCGTGATCATAAGGAAAGTTTCAATTGAAATTTAATTACAAGGTCTAAACAGAGAAGACGTTCCCAAAAGTCTACTAAATCTACAAATTCTATAAAGCTGTCAATTTCGCCGTTAAATGAAAGGTTTCCTGGTTCAATTTAACTGCATCCGCAGTTTTTTGGTACACAAGCTGGAAGCTGAAGTGTGATTGTTTGGAGAAAATGCGCAAATATATTATTACTTCGTCAAAAGTTATATGCAAGAGTGATATGTAAGAGAGAGAGAGAGAGAGAGAATACAAATGTCACACAATTTTTCAATTGGCAATGATTTAACATCTTTGGATTAACCGGCGTTTAAGTTCACATCTTTTCGATTGCACAAATCTTGCGTGTATCGAATATATATAGTAGCATAGTTTCTAAAAGGTATTGTTACGATATTGTTAAAGATTAGTTATTTTGTTTGATAGGAAATCAGCTCGGCTTTAAATAAATAAAAGAGATGCGAATAAGCAATATATTTGAAATACACAGGATGACCTACAAATTTCTAATAGACGATTGCGACTATTCTGCCTCTGATGCATGTTGCTAGGACAAGAAAGTGAAAAAAAACAGGCTTCCACATGACATCATTACATATGTCCCAATACTACATAAGAAAGAAAGTGACAACTTACCTTCTCTTTCTTTGCTCTTCGTAAGGTACGTCTTCCTCAAGCTAGACGGAAATAGAACAACGGCAATATATATTTGAATATCGCGGAATTTTCGAGACAATACTTACAAAATCTATATCCATACATAAGAAGTGTCTGCTAAAGCCATTCTGCTGACGTAACAATTGTGTATTTATTCCCATTTTCATTTATTTTGCTCTTTTTTTATGTTTAGCAGAATGGACTAAGCCCGTTAATAATGAACTGAATCTGTGATGATATGCTCAATGGGCTTTTATAATTGTTGGTCCTTTAAGATTTGCAGATGATGGCGCGATTATATGATAAGATGCCCTTTTATAAGGAGGCAGAAATGTAATTGTAACCCATTCAATTTCCAGGAAATTGATTGATTGATTGGTTACTAGCTTTGGCTGTTTAGAAGTAATAAGCAACATACATGGCACAATTAATTAGCAACGTTTCTCACGCAAAGGTAGACACAAAATAGCCAATTCAAAACAAAACATATTAAATTGCTTACAAATCAAAGGTAGACACAAAGGTAGACACAAAATAGCCAATTCAAAAGAAAACATATGAAATTGTTTACAAATCAAAGGTAGACACAAAGGGTGTCACAAAGGTAGGTAAATCAACGTCGAATTAAAAGAAAAACTCATCTGTTCTAAATGAGATCAGCTGCTTGAGATGTGTCATGTTGCCAGCGTAAGCAGCATGAAAGCATATAGGGAAATGTTGCCAGCAAAAAAATGAATAATTTAGCAAGAAAATTCACATCGAATACAACAATTCTCTCAGCTCACTCAACATTTACTTTCGTAAGGAATGTATAGCAAAGTCAATTTTGTTTGAAGTCAATTTAATTGAATTTATTTTTCAACAACTTCAAAAAATTTCAAACATTTTCGGAACTTAAATGTTTTCTTTTTTTAATAAGATTATAAAGTTATTATACAAGTAATCTTTATTTACATACGCATTTTAGGCAAGTTTTAGTTATTAAGCATACATTAATTTATGAAGAAAATTAACCGAAGCGAATAAGCTAATTCTCTAATTCTAATAAAATTCTAATTAGTATTCTTGAAAATACAAATATAAGAAATAATATAATATATATATATAATATATATTCTTTTCTATAAATAAAGTAAATTTTTTTTTCCGTTTGATTAATAATCATTTTGATTATATATATAAATATTGTATTTAAATTGACGACAAATACGCTCAATATTCATATTATATATGTTAAGCTTATTATATATTATATATTCAGATGATTAAATTTTTATTTTATTTTTATTAAATATTACAAAAAGTTTAGAGACATTTTCAACGACAACAAAAACCAATCATATATTTTCTTTATAAAAACAGTAGTATACAAATTGCCACACCCTCCGCGAAACACAGAGCTGTTTACAGAATTTTAAGATTTTATGTTTTAAAAAATGTAGACAATGTTTTAAACTGCACTACATAACATAGGTTTCATTATAACAGCCATTGATTTTTTTTTAATACATTCACTTTCTAACACCCTGCATGATTCGTATTCAAAAATTGTGACATCTCTGTTCATAAATGGCAAAGAGCAACAAACAAGCAAAAACAAAAAGAACAATGAGCAAAGCAAAACCAAAAATATTTCATCTTATTTTACTCGTAACTAACGAACGGAGGGTGTTTTCCCTGTTAAAAAGAAAATTGGGCGAAAATTCGATGCAAATAATCTCAAAAGTTATTTAATTTAAAATAAAATAAAGTTTAAACAGTTCATTTAAATGTGTTGTAAATTGATCATAAACCTGGAAATTTGGCCACAGGCAAAATAAAAAACAAAAATAATTGGAAATTAATATTACAGAAAAAAATTGTGACAAAGTGCAGAAAAAAATTTTTAATACCTTTTTTGCAAATCTTAAAAGAAATTCGATAATAAAATACAAATCTTCTTAAATAAATTAAAAATTTCTGCAATCTTCATTAAAAGTCTGTGTCTCTGTGTTTGTTTCTCTGTGCAAAAGTTGTGTGTAGTGCCGTAAGTGCAAAAAAAATTGTTCAAAATGATTCGTCTGAAACATTTTTGCTATTCAATTAATTTTAATTGAAAAGTAAAGAAAAGAATTAATAATTCTATACCGAAAAAGGTACTTGATTAAAAAATTTTTTAATAACATTTGTATATATATGTACATATATATGTACGCTTTCAATGCATTTTACTTGTTACTACTTTGCATTTTAAAGCTTTTTATTTCTTTCCTTATGATTTTATTCTCTCCTCTCTTGTTTTGATCACAATTTTCTCATCGCTTGACATATTGCTTGCTTCAGTCGGACCTGATTCAACCGGCTTTTCTTTTCTAAATAAGAAATTTGCTATTGGTGTAGCAGATACTCTCTATTCGTCTTAATATTTTCATGGTTTTTATTGTTGTTTTTTTTTTGTTTTGCTGTCACATATATTCATGCACGCATTTCGTTTTTTCATGGTCACGTGATATCTTCTTATTTAATGATATGATAAACTTAGGCATATGTTTGTATGAGCGTGTAAGTTTCTTATGCAAATGTTTTCTTGTAAAATCTATCCTTTCTTTTAAGTCTCTTCTTAGAAGAAAGATAAAAAAATGCAAATATAAGATAGAGAAAGGGTTTGATTATTAATTTCTCTCGCTTTCTCTCTTTCTCTCTCTATCGCTCTCATTCTTCCTTTTTTGTCACGCTTTTTCTCTAGCAGTAGCAATAAAAAGCGAGTAAATGGAAAACTGTTTAAAAGTAATTTGAAACGTTTGCTTTCAAATATAAGTAGACGTGGCAGAATTTATGTGATAAATGTGTAAATCTGCTTTCGTGGACTTTTTCCTTAAATTTCTGGTATTATTTTCGGTTTTTTTTCTTTTCTCTCTCTCTCTCTCTCTCTCTCTCTCTCTCTCTCTTACCTTTAAAAATCGATAGATTGATTGATAGATTTCATTGAATCTAAGACATAAGGTGAATGTATTTACAATCCATTCTGGCAACATTTCAATAACAAAGACAGACCATAAACTTCGCAGGCAAATGCAATTGGCAAAGTTGTAATATACTTGTGTTTAATCAATTTTATTTTTTCCGGGCTTATGACGAAACATTGTTTGGAAAATTGGTTCTTTAATAAAAAAAGAAGGAAAAAACTTACACGCATCCGCTGATTTACATGGTGAATGCATTCTTTGAAAAATCGCGTAAACCGAAACTTTGTAAAACGAGAAAGAGTATTCGAAGAAAACACCAACATTCGTAGAAAGTAAGGCCTAAACCATAAACGAGCCTAACGGTCAATGAGACGAAAAAGACAAAAATATTTAGGATAAAATGAGCTAAAGATTAAATGAAGTGAAAAGGATTGGTTCATTGACGCATAGAACTTATATTTAATGGTTGCTCTCTCCTCATGCATTGCTAAATATGATAAAAAGGAAAAATTAAAAAAATTTTTTACATTCCATTTAGTTTAAATACAAATAGATGCCATAAGAAAAATAGAAGGAGAATAGAGACAACATTTTTCCTCTAGTCGAAATCGGTATATTCAGATCTGGTTTGGATTTGAATGATATAATGCGGCAAATATCGATGGATATTCTTTTTTGCTCGGACGTAACCACTTTCGCTATTTTGATGCAAATCTGACTCTTTCTACGAGAACCCGTCAATTTGACGAGTAACTTTTGTCAATCGTCCCAATTGCAACATTGACGAGAGGAAGGTAAAATTTGGCGCAAATATTCATTAATCATATAGGATGGTAAAAAATGGGCGCGGTTTGTTCATAGCCATGCTAATAATGTGTAAGAAAGCATAACATCTTCCAGAAACAGCAATAGTTTTTCATCTTCTATAGCTTTCGATTCCGTAAATATCCAAAATGTTCGCCAGAATTAACTGCATGTTTGTCCCGATGGTTTTGCTAATACATACAAAATTCGCGACAAAATATTAATTACAGCTTATTTCCCATTTATTCCAAAGCAAATTGGATTGCGGGTTAGCGAAATTTTTGCGTTTGCTTTTAAGAAGGTTGATTTTCATATCAATGGTTGCTGAGAAGGTTGCGAAGGGGTTAGAGATGGACTATTTCAACTATTGCGCTACTGAGAGAAATTTGGAATAACGAATGCTTGGCATGCAAACAGGCGGCGAAAAACCTTGAGGCTGACGTGCGAAGTGTCTAAAAATTTGAAGTATTTTGCATGACTACACGATGAATACGACAATTTATGATAATCACTTTTCGACCCTGTTCTAACTTCTACACATATTTGGAATTTTTCAAAATTCAAAAAACACTGATCCCGGGCCACGAGGGGCAACAAATGCCAGTCTATTGATTAGGGGCAGGGAGTACGCGCAAGATTTTGAATCTGTTCCTCTTTGTCTAAAGATCTAAATATTCCCCACCATTTCGCAGGAGAGAGCAGCGTAGAAAGAGAATAAAATTTTCAAACATCAAAATGGCCATCTTTTCTCGATCGAGAATATGGACAATTTGTGGGAGTTATCCAGGCAAGATTGTAAGGTGTACTCGTCATAATCTGAACAAAACTGTGCATGAAAGTCTTGTTGTCTTGACTTCATCATTTCATTTTATTTTTAAAGTTTTAGGAAAATTTTCAATTAATTTTTTCTCGGAAGAATTCATTGACTGCAACGTATAGTGCGTTTTTTAATCTTACTTTAGCTAAAGTTCATTAACCATTTTCATTACGGAATTCTTCGAATTCGATGGATGAAATCGGTGAATGCACATCGACTTGTGTACGTTAATGCGCAAGTTGGCAAGTTTTTATTATGTAACATAAATAATGCAAACGTTTCTAGAACATATTGTTTACCTAACTTTTTAACAAAATAACAAAATTTATGAAATATGGAAAAAAAAAAATAAACGAAATAAAAAAAGAAAAATAAACAAAAATTAAACATCAGCAAATTCATGCGTAATACGTAATATAACCACTGAAGCGCAATGTTTTACATACAAAAAAAAAAAAAAACTTTTTTTTATTTTGAAAATAAATAAATTCTTTTTTCTTACACTTTTTTTTTTTTTTATCATAGAAATTCTGTCCCTTTCTCTTTTCCTTTCGTTATATTATTAAGCGAAAAAAAAAACAACTTCAACGACGCAACATAAGTTCTTCTTCAGCTTTCAATAAGAAGAAAAATTCTTTCCAATACAAAATTCATTCACATAGATTTTATACGTGTAGTTTTTTAGTTATGGATAGTCGGGTGAGTCTTCTTGGTGGCTATATGAATTTTCGTTAGTGTTAGTGTTAGTTAATGATAGTGCGTTGCAAATATATCTCAAATGTTGGTTGCTTTGCACATAATTAGTTTTTTTTTTTCTTTCTCATAATTTTCGTATAAATACTCGGGAGTTGTAATCTGAACTTCTCAGTTATGCTTGAAGAGCTTAAACGTGAAGGTGATTTTAAGATATAACGGTAAAAAGTAAATCAATAAGTATTCGTTTTACACTAGAGAAAAAAACAAAAACAAAAAAGAAAAGTGGAAAATTTTTTACTACAAAAGTTTTTATGAAATTATGATCTTTGGCAAATGCAGGTAAAGTGAATTATTTGAAAATGTTTGTTTGTCTCGATTATTTGCGCTCGATTACATTGAAACATTCGCTTCTGCGCTCATTATTATTTACTCTGATACTAGAAGACTCAGTTTGCTCTAAAAAATTATAATTGTTTTTTTTAAATTTTCTTAATCTTAATTCTTATTATTTATATTGAAAAATTTTTCTCAATTTTCATATATCTATATATATATATATATATATATATGTATATATATATATATCCGTACATATACATATATGTCTTTCAAAACTCAATCAATTCATTAAATCTTTGTAACAATTACCACAAACAGTAAAGTAACCATAAATAAAACAATTAATGTAATGCGGTCTTAATTAGGAAAATGAAAACCTTGTGCAAAACCGGCATATAAAACTTGCCGCCGACGCCGACACATAGAAACATTAGTTTTTGAAAACATAGCAAATAGAAACCGGCACATACGTGTATGATGCATAAAAGACACGATATAAAGCCTCGTCGCAGAGAACTTTTCAAAAAAACCAGACCATATGACAACAAACTAACAAACTAAAATAAAAAGAAAAGAAGAAAAAAAAAAAAAAAAGAAAAAAACCACACAAAAAGCACAGCTTGTAAACTGCACTCGAATATTGCGATACTGATATGCGTAAGCTTATGTGTAGATAACAGAAACAGAAACTAATGCCTTCATAATCGATAAAGAGTTCTGTTTAAAATTGAATTGAAAAACTACAGAGAGAGAGAGAGAGAGAGAGAGAGAGAGTGAAGGAGAGCAGCAAATCTGGAGAAATCATATGCTGCAACAAAAATGAAATATTATTGCATTATTAGATGTCTAAAAAGTATTGAGTTTGTACAAGACTGATTTCTATTATAATACAATCGAGAGAAAATCGAAATGAATTTGTGGACTTTTCATAATTCCTCCGATTAATTCACAAATATTGTATGCAATTTTAGAGCGAAGATGTTATTCACCTAATGGTCAACGTGATCGAGGAATGATCTCTGAGGAAGGGAAAATATGTTGATAAATAAGTTTTCTTTCAAAGCAGAATAATGTTTCAGCCATGTCCTTCGTCTCGGCCTGTCCGTACGTCATCTACTGCGAAAGCTCTTTTCGTTGAAGTAGATAGCCTAACTAGTTAACTAGCGTATGGTTTGAATTTGGAAATGGGAAAAACAGTTGTGACAATATTGATAATTAGTTTTGTAAGGAAATGTTTGTCAAGACAACGCTACAAAGTATATATATATATATATATTCTTGATCAACGTAAAATTCTGAATTGATTTAGAAAAGTCTGTCCGTCTGTGTGATTTTTGTTGTTGGCAAAGTCTTTGTCGCAAGAGCGAAAATATCGACTTCAAATTTGGTAGAAACATTGGAATTTTTTGCGCGCAGGTTGGTATCGAAAATGGGCCAAATTGGTCAGGAGGAGAAGACCACTGTGAAGCCTAACCTGAGCACAAATCCGTTTTTCTTAACAACAATTTGTTGGCTTCTGCTAGCTACACGGAAA